AACCCTCCACATTATTGCACCAATTTTATAGAGTACCCGAAAAGTGAAAGGCAAGGGGACTCACAGCAAAAACCTCCCGAAAAGTGAGAGGCAAGGGAACTCACTTTTAATAAAACACCCCAATGGGAACAAAAAGCTACTACGTCCACGTCGTTGTTCCTGGGTAATGCTAAAAGTTGTTCAAAAAAAAATTTCTGATTCGTAACCAGCAAGGCCAAAAACTCCTAAATACCATGTTTCATAGAAATCCTTTAAAAAAATGAAAATCCGTCCGCCATATTGGATCCGCCATTTTGAATTTTCAAAAACTGACTTCAGATTCGTAATCAGCGAGGCCAAAAACTCGTACATACCATGTTTCATAGAAATCCTTAATAAAATTAAAATCCGTCCGCCATTTTAAATTTTCGAAAACTGACTTTAGATTCGTAATCAGCAAGGCCAAAAACCCCTAGATACCATGTTTCATAGAAATCCTTAAAAAAAATGAAAATCCGTCCGCCATATTGGATCCGCCATTTTAAATTTTCAAAAACTGACTTCAAATTCAAAATCAGCGAGGCCAAAAAGCCCTAGATACCAAATTTCATACGAATCCTACAAACAATTTGTAAAGTACCTCTTACCCCCCCCCCCCACCAAAATTTGTAGGGGCGATTTCTACTCCAAAATTCGTTTTTGGGGAAAAACAAAAAATACGTGTCTAATAGTTTTTGAAGAACTACTTGTATGCGCAGTTTCAATCGAAAAGGAAAATCGGTGATTATCACTTCCCTAGTGTTACTTGTTAGTATATTTCTATAAGAATACTCCCCCTCAAAACTAACCTAACCCTACCTATCGTCACATTAGCCGTTAGTCATTGTTTATTAAAGTGTCCAACTTTTTTCTTAATAATTTTTTAATAAACAATGACTAACGGCTAATGTGACGATAGGTTGGGTTAGGTTAGTTTTGAAGGGAAGTGCGGGGAGCGCAGTTCTCCGCTAGTCGTTCGATATTGCAGTTACATAATATGATTAAAAGATCAGTAACTTGTTTAAATTGTGGGAAAGCAGCAACGTTTGACAAGTGAAAAAAAAATAAAAAAAAGTTAAAGCAATATATAACTTGCATACTTTTCGGACTCCCTCGATTGATTATCAAAATAAATATTTTTACCCAAAGAGTTGCAAAAAAATATCAAAATTCAAAAAAGGCCTTATGGCTCCTGCACATCGCTTACCGCGCGGCGAAAGTTTGCGTAACCAATATGGTGCTTTCCGTAATAACCTAGCTCTTACGGAAAAACAACATATTGATTGGCTGTCGCGCGGATTTCCGCCGCGCGGCAAGCATTACCGCGTCCTATATGCAGGAGCCATTATTATACATAATTAACACCCGAAAAAGAACCAGGAGTATTGAAATACTAAATAATACACCGATCGTGCCTGTCGATATTTCCACAGCAGTGCTTGAGATCGATATTTCGGCCAAATACATGATTTTTTAACATTTAATTAAAATTATCTGGATGACTCACAAATCTTTTTAATAATATTTCATAATTCTTCATACAAAATACAAACGATACCATATTGAACCTTTGTTTAATTTATTTCCGGTCATTATTTCCGGCTAAATATGTGGTCCAAAAAAGAATAATTAATTACAAGTAATAGAATGACTCACAAATCTTTTTAATTGCACTTCAAAACTCTTCATACGAAATACAAACAATTTAAAAGAATAGTTTTTCAACCGGAGTTTTTTTCCGGTCAAGTATACGAATATCACAGAGCCGCATTCGCATCTTAAAACATTCGCACTTAAGACGGTCTTGAAATAAGATTCGACTATAAATACCAGCTTAAGAGTTCTCGATGGGTGCTTTCCAGTTACGTTTTGTACATTACACAAAACCAGTTTATTGGTTTTATATTATCTTACAAGATATTTTAGATAATATGTGACCAATAAATTAGTTTTGTGTACGTATGTGTCAAGATGTGTTAAGCAATTGGAAAACACCATGTCTTAGGTTAAGACTGTCTTAAGTAATATCTCAAGATACGAATATGGCTCTGTAATTGGTTCATGAAATCTTAAAACAGTACTTCAGATGATCTTAAATATAAGATCGGACTATGGCTGCGTTTGTTTTGGCGCTTACAACGCTCTGAGCATCATTTTATCCTTGTTTCTATCAAATACTAAACAAGAACAAATGATGCTTACACGCGCTATAAGCACCAAAACGAACGCAGCCTATGAATACCGGATTTAGAGAAGTCTTATTTCGGCTGCGTTCTGAAATTCAGTGTCAGTACTGGAAATCTGGGTAGCGATCGTGAATCTTTCACGTGAACTTCATTTTCATTTTTCACTTTTTACTGTAAGTTATTTCACATGAAAAGTGAACAATGAAAATGTGGAAAGCAATATTTATGTAATATAGATTATTAAAATTAAAATATAATTACACAATGTAATATATAACATATTAATAAGCATTATATAACTTAAATTTATAGTTATAATATAATATAATAACACAATATAAGTAAATTTAATAAATGAGACGAACGTTAACCGTGAAAGGTGAATTCTCAAAACGTGAAATATTTCACGTGAACTTTCAGTTTGCTCGTATATGTTCTTCTTTACATGTAAATTGTGTAAGTTTCCATGAAAATTTTTAAGCATCAAGCGATGTGGTTTAAATGTGAAAAATAATGTAATACTACACTCGCATATTATGTATAAAGTGAGAATTTCTTATAGGGACTTTAATTTTTATGGTTATACGACAATTGGCATTTGACATAAGAATCCTAAGTCTATTAAAAATGAACAACAAAAGCCAATTGAAGCGTGATGACGTATAGGTAGTGAAAGCATACCGATGAAGTTTGCAAAGTTAAAATACGTATGCATCAGAAAGTTAAAGTGTAATATATTATAAACTGTATGCAGTAAGTAAAATGTAAGTTTATTTTATGTATTTATTGCATATATTTTATGTATTATTTTATGTGAAATATATATTTTCTGCAGATTTATAATTTTAATATAATAGAATATTTTTTTTAATTTAATAATAGAATATTTTATCTTTTAATAATTTATCCTAAAGTAATCCCAGACAAGCAGACTTCCAAGGGACATTCTAAAGACATCACTATGTCTTAAAAA